CAATTATCAAGGCTATAGAAAAACAAATTATACATGCACAGTGAGACAACTCTGTATATATGAATCCTTGGATAACCTGCTAGAGGGTGAATTTTAATCAATCAAGAGATGACTGGAGAAACTTTGGCAAGAGCATGATAGTAAGCTTGTAGTGGATTAAGTGTAGAGCTAAAATTTAAACAAGGATCAGAGACAAGTATAGAAAATTATCCACAAATGTCATATGTTCTGACAAAGTAGAAAGAATACAACTTAAAATTTGAACTGAGAAGGAACACAGAAAAGGAAAATAGAATCAGGTCAAAGCTGAAGAGGGTAAAGGTAGAAATCAAATGATGACATCTGGATTTGATAACCCAAATCATAAAGGATAATACAAATTGATCAGGATATTTTAAAAGATATCAATGCAAAGGTCACTACTAGAGCAAACATGTACATTTTTTTGTCAATATCCAAAATACTTTTTTAAAAAAGAGCAAAAGAGACATACCGAGAAACAAAGAAACATAACATAATACATTGGCTAATTATAAAGTGACATAAGGAATTGACGTCCAATATATTAGTCATATCCATAAGTGTGAATGAGATTAACTTTCCTAGTAAGAGAAAAAGATTTTCAAAATAACTTACAAAGCAAAACATGGTCTCTTCTAAATACAGGAGACACATTTAAAGCAAAGTGATTCAAAGTGACTCAAAATACAAAAAAGGATGGGAAAAGTTATTTACGTCAACTAAATAAAAACAGCTCTAAAACAATGGTAACAAGCCTACTACCAGGAAATGCAGAATTAAGTACAAAAAGTATTAAACAAAACACATAAAATCATAGTATAATGCATAAATCTACAATAAAATATGTCAGTTATTAATGTTATATACCAGATTACACAGGAATTAACTATATATTAAAAAGAAATGAAAGTGGGCCTCCCCGGTGGCGCAGAGGTTGAGCGCTGGGTTGCGAAGCTGCCCGCGGCCTATTCGGCGCCGGTTCAATCCCCAGCTGCTCCCCGGCCACCAGAGGAGGGTCCCACATGGCGCGCAGACCTCTCCTGCCGCCCGCTGCTCCCCTCAGCAGTGTGCTTCGGTCCTTCTGCCTGCTCTGCTCCCCGCTCTGGCTCTGGTGAGTTCTCTCACCCTCCTGCGCTTCTGACTGTACCCAGTGTATGTATAAACAAAACAAACAAACAAATAAATAAATAAATAAAACATGAAAAAAAAAAAAAAAAAAAAAAAGAAATGAAAGTAATGCAAGGAGAAATAGAAACAATAATGATGAGTTTGACACACCACTCCCAGCACAAGAAAGGAACAACAACAACAAAAAAAATGGCTAGAGAAGGCTTACCCAACATCATTGGTAAATTAAATTTCATAAATATGTACCAAATACTGCACCCTTTAGTAAAGAATATTCTTCTTCTCAAGTAGACATGAGACTTTCATTGAAATTAATCAGTTATTATGTTACAAAGGAACATAAGTAAGAAAAGTAGGGATAATAGGAAGATTATAAGCATACTTCTCTGATCATAATGTAGTAAAGTAGAAATTAAAAGCAAAAAAAATGTAAATGCCCTTCAAAAAATTGAAGAAAAAAGGACTAAATTCACTCTCTCACTTAAAACAAAAAAAAATATCTGAGCAAAATATAATAAGCAGGTGTTTCAAGATTTCAGACATTAAGTCATGAAAGACAGTGAGTTTGCAACCTGGGAAACAAATAAGATGAGTTCTACACTTCTGCCAGTGCAGTGCCTGGAATAATTCCAGGTCACAGTGCAGGGAGCGGGGTACCCAGGCAGAGACCAGTGAATGCCCTGATTTGAGAAGCTGAGAGTCTGGCAAGATCACAGTGGTGAGAGCGTATAGCATAGAGGATGAAAAAGAGGGGAGCTATAGAGGACCCTCCTCAAGCATTCAGAATGCAATTCAGAACATACATTTAAGGAAATTATTTGCCTTCGTCCATTTGAGTTACTAAACAAAATATCATGAACTGGTGGCCAATCAACAATAGAAATGCATCTCTTATAGTTCTGGCAGCTAAATGTCTGACCTCTGGGTGCCAGCATTGCTTTGGTGAGAGTCATCTTGCGGTCACAGACTTCTCATTGTATCCTCACACTATGGAGGGGATTAGGGAGCTCTCTGGGAACTCTTTTATAAGCCATGACTCCCATTCATGAGAATTCTGCCTTCATGATTTAATAACTATCTCCTGAAGGTCCCTCTTACTAATATCATCACCTTTGGAAGTTTGGATTGGAAATCTGAATTTGAGGAGGGGGCACAAATATTCAGATCATAGTGCTACCCAAAGCCACAGGAAGGGCTTCTTGGAAGGATAAGAGGAAATACTGTCAGATATACATAGGGGCAAGAATAGTGTATGGTCCAATCAGCTTATCTCAAAAACTCATAATTTGTGCAGAACTGTATAGAGTGCCGAGAAGATTTTGCTTCAGAAGAAGAGAATAATTAGTCCCAGATTAAATGTTGCTATGGCTCTATCTGAAAAATCTTTAAAATAAGACCTTGAGGAAATTAACTGTTTCCAAGTAACTTAACTGCACCGCAGGAAAAATACTCAGGAATATTTAAAAGAATACAAAAATATCCAACACTCAATAAGTAGAATTCACCATGTTTGGCATCCAATAAGTTACTTGGCATGCAAAGACAGAAAAAGATAACTCTAAAAGTCTGGAAGGAAAGGCTGGGAAATGAGATGTTTCAGGGAAGAAGGACTTTGAAAAGTTGCCACATATTTCTGGGAACCTAGAAGTCTATGCATATACCCAGGGTTGGGCACAAACTCAGAAAATCTGAGAAGGCTCTAAGCTCTTAATTCTGGCTGATCTTTCAGCTCTGCATAAGCAGGAAGTGAAGGCTAAAGTAAAGTTGTAAGTGGCCTGGCTAAGTGTTCAATACATGTCCCAGTGTACCCAGAGTCTATCTGCAAAGACAAGAAAATTTTGTTCTTAGTTTCCAAATGTTTAAGGAAACTATTCTCAAATCACTAGCTGTTGATCTAGCAGAACAGACTTTAATAAGCACTCATGACAAAGGATATAAACATTATAAAACTAGTCTGAAAAAGTGACAAACCAAAGAAACAGCAACAATGGAAATGCAAATCCAAATCACAATGAGATACCACTTCATACTTACTAGAATTTTTATATATATATATATTAATATGAAAATAACAAGTGTTGCTGAGGATGCAGAAACACTGGAACTCTTACAATGCTGGTAGAAATGTGAAATGGTACATCAACTATGGAAGGCATTTTGGCAGTTCCTCAAAAAGTTAAGGATTGAATCACCCTGTGACCCAGCAATTCCACTCCTAAGTGTATATCCAAGAGAACTGAAAACACATGTGCACACAAAAATATGTGTACACAAATGTTTATAGCAGAATAATTTGTAATGATCAAAGAGTGGAAACGATCCAAATGTCCATGAAAATAAATGGCTAAACTAAACACGTTATATCCATATGGTGAATATTATTTAGCCCTTAAAAAGAATAACACATTGATACATCTATAACATGGATAAATTTGAAAACATTCAATGAAGGAAAAGAAGCCAGACACAAAAGGTCAGATATTGTGATCCCTTTATATGAAATGCCTAGAATAGGCATAACCATCAAATCCAGAAGTGAATTAGTTGCTGCCAAAGGGTAAGGTGTGGAGGAATGGTGAGTGACTGCTTACTGTGTTTGGGACATCTTTTTTGGTGGGGGGGGGGCGCACAGGTAGTGGTGATAAAATTTTCTGGAGTTAAATACCGTAATGGTTACACAACATTGTGAATGTACTATAAGACATTCTATAACACACTCAAAAATGGTTAAAATAGTGAACTTGACATGATGTGAATTCTACGTCAACTTTTAAAAAAAAGAATATGAAATATGGTCAAATGTGATCATGTATTTGTAACTTTGATTCAGGACAGGGTCTTCAAAATAAGAGTACAACCAATATTACCAACTAGCTTCTCCCAACTAGCTTCTCACACATCTTGCTCTTGGCATTGCTCAGGGGCATCCTCATCTGCTTGGCTACCTGGTTCCTTTGCTTGGATCCTTGATGCTAGGGCTCTGAGAACTGGGTACCCCAAGCCCTGCCTCAGGGGTCAAGCAGCAGCAGGGATGACGAGCACACCTTCCTTAAGAGGTATAGGTCCCCATAATTTGAGACTGAATAAACAAGTTTTATTCCTAGTGAGAAGTTTTTGGTTGGGGGAAAATATCAAAAGTTGGCAGGGCCTCCCCTGGTGGCACAGGCATTGAGCGCAGCGCTGTGAGGCTGCCTGCAGCCTCTGCAGCGCCGGTTCGATCCCGGCAGGCCAGCAAGGGTCCCACATGGCGCAGCAGACCTCTCCTGTCTCACTCTCTGCTCCCCTCAGCAGTGTATTTCAGCGGATCTGCCTGTTCTGTTCCCTACTCTGTCTCTGGTGAATCCTCTCACCCTCCCACACGTCTGGCCTGTACCCCGGTTCTTGTGTAAAATAAATAAATCTTAAAAAAAAAAAATATATATATATATATATCTCAAAAGTTGGCAGAAGGTGGGTTTGCATTGCAACTCTGTCCCTAACAATTGACATATCAGACCAGGTGCCCTCTGGAAGACTCAGGATCACAGGTAAACAAGGAATCTATCCGATGGACCGCTAAGTGTAAACGGAGAGGCACTGCCAGCACAGCCTGCACTCTGGCCTCAGCATGGCGTCAGAGGCCGAGCCTGACATGCGCACACTGGGACAGCCCAACCACCTTCTCCAGCAGGCTGTGCCAGGCCCGACTATCAAGGACCCTGCCGTTACTCTGAAGCCCCTGTAACCCCCAGGAACCCAGATGGCACCTCCCTCAGGGAAAGACCAGTATAGGCCCACTCAGAGACTATGGAACCTTCTGGAAGACCCAGGGCTCCACCCCTCCCTATGCGGCCTGGAGGCACTGAAGGCGGAGCTAGGCCTCTGATTGGAGGAGATCTGGGGGTGTGGCCAACGGCAGGGGGAAAGGCTATTAACCGTTATTTTCAGCCAGTACTCGGCTCATTTCTCCGAATGACTCTGAACTGATCTCTTAGAGTTTAGGTGGCGTCTTCCCTTCTCCCCAGGAAGAACAGAACTGCTATAAAGATGCAGGAAAACCCCTGAGGCCCAGGAGGAGGCCAACTGGGGAGTCCAGGGTTGGTAGCAGAAGTTGCCTCGGGTGCTCCTGGCAGGCGGGGGAGGGGCCGGGGGCGGGGGGGTGGGGCAGGGTGGCGAACCCCCTCAGCCTTGCCCCTGACGGCGGGCCTCACCGGCCGTTCTCGCCATTTCTCTCCCTTCTCTCGCGGCAGTACCCTGTTCTCCATGGCCAAGGAGCAGCGCCCGCTGAGTGCAGCAGCCTGGGACTCTGAGGACAGGTCCATGCCCGGTGGAGCCGCCCAGCCCGGCCCTGCCCAGGCCTGACTCTCAAGGTGTGCGGCGCCCCCTCCGAGCCTCCCTGTCTGGACCCCCTTCCCGAGGGGGTGCCGGCTGAGGGGGGGTCTGAGGCCCAGACGTGGGGTCAGGGCAGCTGCAGCTCGGGCCCCCCGGGGGCTGGTGGCGTGTCCTCTCACCTGGAAAGGGACAGGCCCAGCAGGCCCGGCCAGCATCTGGGGAGGCCGGGGCGATGGCGCGGGCGGCCTTCGATGACGGCTGTGCCGGGGATTATTTCCTGGGATTTCGGCTTTGGCGGCGTCCCCCACTCTGCTGCGGGCAGCGGAGCCCAGCGTCTCTCTCTCATTTCTTTTTGTGTCCGCAGGATTGGTCACTGCCCGTGATCACCAGTCAAGCTAAGGGAGAGAATGGAGGTTCCCAACGGTCCGCCCGGACGCTTTCTAGGAGCTAGGAAGCCACATTCCAGGGGTGCCCGTCGAGGGGGGACCCTGCCCCAGCCACCTTCCTTCTCAGCCTCCCTCGTGAGGCTTTATTTGAAAAAAGTCTCGGCGGGTGACACCAGGGGCTTTTGTTCCCAGAACCACACACGCACCCCTTTCCCCTCCCAGTAGAACAGTGCGCTCCTGGCGGGAGATTTGCGCCTAGGCAATAGGAGGAGAGCGGGCCCTTCCAGGTGGATATTCCCTCAAAGGGTCACGCGGGTGCCCGGGGGGAAGGGCGGGGCTGTGGGCTGGTGGGGCCTCACGAGAAGAGACAGGACTCCTGCCCCTCCTCGCGTGCCCCTTTTAGTCCCCGCGCTCAGCTCTGACCCCAAGCCTTTTCCATTTACCATCAACATGGAAACTGCACGAGGGCATATTCTCCCTCCTTGTGCATTTATCTTGTTCCTCAAAACTGCCCTTACATGGAGGAGACTTGTGGGACTCAGGGAGCCTGGTCTGTCAGCCAAGCCCCAATAAAGCCCCTCAGCCCTCAGCTCCAGTGGGAAATTTAATAAAGGCTTCATGTTCTGAACAGCCTGGACTGGTGATTGGTGTGCTGGCTCAGAAGCTGTGCCGCTTTCTCCCCACCCAAACCAGGTGGATGGTGTGTTTGTGCTGTGGGGGAAATGATAATAAGGGTGAGGGGGGCTTTCTGGGAGGCGCCCCTACCTCCCACCTCCCCTTTGCAGCATGCTCCTCTCTATGGCAGGCAGGGACTCATAGCAGTTGGTTTACTAGTCATGGTAACAAGGCAAGAAGGAAAGCACAAACCCCCTGCCCCCCAGTCAGGCCATTAGGAAGGATGGGGAGGGGAGGCAAATAGTGATTCATACTGAGGTTCTGGAATTACTATTTTTATGACTTTGTTCTTCTAATCCTTGCTTGAGGATGAATGGCTAAGGAACAAGTTACTGGTGGGAGGGTTTGTCCTCATTAGAGGGGACTCAGGACCCTGGTAGCCCTCTCCTCATTGGCCTGTGCTGTGCACCCTGGAGGTGTGGCCAATGCTCCTGGATCTCAGTGGTAGTGAAAGTCCTAGCGGAACACAAGTCATCGCACCCACTTATTGTGACCTCAGCAGTTGCCCACTATCCCCCTGGCCCCTCTTGTTTTCCCTGTGTGCAGAAGACCAGAGCTGACTTGGCAAGAGGACAGACATCCCTAAGTGTCCAAGCTAGGGTTCTGCCTCTGAGTTCTGCCCTGACGATGACCATAAGAAGATGATTCTGGAAGTCTGGTGGCTCTGGGTTTTTCTAAGAAGCAAGAACGGTAAGTTTGCACACCTCTGGAGTATTTCTTCAGGAGCTCTTTCTGTTCTCTTGCTGGGGGACTTGCAAATTGAAAGCATGGGCTCATTTGTAATCGGAGGAACACTACCCGGTAGGGATATTGAGCAGAGGGTTTGTTTGAAGACCTCTAATCTTTGCAGCTCTGAACTCACAAATGCTCTTATGTTAGCATTGCTCCATGGCATTATTCTGAACTGGTGACTTCTCAGGCTCACTGTGTTATTTTTCTAGCTGTATAGGTTGCTATCATTTATAAACACAATCATCCTTAGGGGTAGATGCCATGGCTATTGTACAGATGAAGAAACAGAAGCCAGGAAAAAGACTCAACTCCCTTGGAAGAGGGGTTAGTTTGCAGTGCCTTTGCCCTGAAGGATGTGCTCTCTTACTTCTCACTGCTCTCCAACTCCCACGCCTTAAAAAGCAAAACAAAAAAAGGAATAATTCCCTTAAAAAGGGATTATTTAATGCTTAGCGTGTCAGGACTAAGTTTAACCATCTTTGGAGAAGCCTTTTATTTCTCACCATGTGAGGCAAGGGACAGGCACAGAGAAGTAGCTAAATATTTGCTCAATTCAAGTCTCCCATGTCTTTCACCTTTTAGTGTCACATCCTTTTAACCCTGATTGCTTACAGGTTATGACAGCTTTTAGAAAATTCACGGAAATTCTAATATTCTTTGCTGTACCTTAAGTGACTTTGGGGCACTCTAGTTATTGATTTCCCAGTCCTTTAACTAGTTGTGTGATTTTCTGCAATTCAGGTATCTCTCTGTGTCTGTTTTTCAGTGCCAGGTGGATAACCCACCTTATATCACAGGGATAGGTGAGGATTATAGGAATGATGCATAAAGTATATGAGATGCTTGCCAGAAGTTACCTCTCCCCTGCCTGGACAGTGCTGGGTATTCACTAAGAGCTTTCTGGTCCATGGTGCCTCCCAATCAACAGGGAAGAATTCTAGATCCTCCCTTGCATAGCTTCCATTCAGATTCCACACAACTTTCTGAAAGACTTCCACCCTTCTGTGTAACAAACTATCAACCAGACAGATTAGATATGACAGATTAATATACCCTGGAAAAAATCTGGAAGGTCTAGGAGCCATCACCTCAATTTTTCCCCCTCTCATTTAGTCTCCAATTATCCCCTCAAGGAGATCAGGAAGAGACAATAGGATCTGATGGGTGGAGCTATGCCCTAAAGGTGCCGGTGTTCCTGAAGAAACCAGGACTTTGAAACACAGATGTAGACATGGTCAGATTTCCCAATGTGCCTCTCTTCCTACATGGGATCAGGGGTCTTAGCCTTCCCTCAGAGAGTATGGGAGAGACACTTGAATCTTGAAAAGGATCTCATTTCTAGGTGGGCCTGCTTGCCTTTTTGCTAGGTAGAAAGCCCACCCCAACCCTCTGTTCCATCCCTTCCTTGTAGATGTGGGGTGCTGGGTGGGCTGGACCTACACCCTGGACCTACACAGATAGTCCTTCAAACCATTCATCTGATTGTGCCCCTAACCCCTTCCCTAATCACCCTTACCTGGATGCTTCTCATGTCCCTTTTTTTTATTATTTTAATTTTATTTTTATATTCCCCATACAATTACAACCCCCTTATTTTGACCCAAATCCCCGCCCCCCCCCATAGAGTGTCTCTGGTTCATAGTTGTTTGTTGATTTTGATATTTTCTTTCTTATAGTTATTCTTTTTCCTGGTCCCTTATTTAAGTTTTCTGGATTCCTGCTGATTCTCACGTCCCTTTTTTACTGAGTCCACTGTGGACAAGGTTCTCTGACCCTTGTCTCAGCTGGCTTGGCCCTGCAGGACTGACAGAACCTCTTGTGCTTGGACAGCCACTTGGCAGACCTGCCCTTCTTGGCTCCAGGTCTCAGCTCTTGAGGGCCCTATATTCTTTTCCACCTCTTCCATGCCTGAGTCGCCTCTTGTGTGTGTGGATATTTTCTTGCTTACCTCTGGCTGCCTGCTCAGCCTCATTTCTCACCCACTTTCCCACCGTGGCAGCCAGCCATCCTTGATGGCTGAGAGTCAGAGGGGGACTACAGTTCTGGGGTTTGAAGATTTTAAGTTTAAGACCCACTTCTGCTTCATAAGCTGTATACAAATTTTACAAAAAAAGAAAGAAAGAAAACACCTTTGATCCTCAGTTTGGAAAATCTGTAAAATAGGGAAAGTTGTAATGTGTAAATTGAGAGGAGCTTTTGGGTAAGAAACAGAAAAATGTGATCCACATGGAAGAATTTCTTGGAAATAGCTTGATGCTGAATCTAACTCTGCTGCTGCTTTTGGTGCTTCTCAAATGTCACTAGCTATGATTCTTATCCACTATTCTGCAGAGAAAGCTGGCTGGACAAAAGGAACCCCAATTTATCACCCTTGGAATCAGACCCTCTTGAATGAGGCTCTCCATCTTTTTTTCTAACCCAAACAAAGAAATGAAGGGGGCTCAGGCAAAGGTATCTTGTTTCCTCATGCTTAGCACGGACCCATTTTGTAAGCTTAAAGAGGATGGGAGACCGTAGGACTCAAGAGAAAAGTACTAGCCTCTGTTTCCGAATACGTCAAGGTTGAACTAACCAAAGTAGTCTGTTGGATTCCTCAGAAGGTGGAATCTCAGCAGCTCTCTTAAAAGCATGAAGACCAAGGGCCTCCCCTGGTGGCGCAGTGGTTGAGCACTGGGCTGTGAAGCTGCCCGCAGCCTCTGCAGCGGCGGTTCGATCCCCAGCCTCCGGTGAGGGTCCCACATGGCGCGACAGACCTCTCCTGCCACACTCGCTGCTCCCCTCAGCAGTGTACTTCGTCAGTCTGCCTGTTCTGTTCCCTGCTCTGGCTCTGGTGAATTCTCTCACCCTCCCGTGCTTCTTCTGACTGTACCCAGTGCTTTCATAAATAAATAAATAAATCTTTAAAAAAAAAAAAAAAGGCATGAAGACCAAGAAAAGACTTGAGCTTTTTTAATTGATCCTTGTTGAGGCTTCCTGTGTTCTTTCCCATCCTACCCCTGATCTCTAGAGTGTCTCCATTTACCTACCCACTGCTGTCTCTATTTACCTTCAAGATGGAAGCCAAATGTTTCCTATTCATGGGTCTTGTACCCCCAGCAATATGTCCTGAGACACCCCAGGTCTCCTTCAAGCAGAGTGTGTGAAGCCTCTGCTCTATCCAAACTGTAATCAACCCCTCAGACCTCCCATTTCTATAATATTCCTTCTTCAGTCAAGTAGGGATGACTACGATGATTCAGAAGTAAAGACCAAAGTAGGAGTCAGTTTTAATCTTCCCATCTCAAACAGGTGGATGGTGTTTAGACTAGAATTAACCCAGATAGAGGTAGCGAGGGCTGGTCAGAGACCTGCCAGTGTCCTCCCCACAGCCTCTTGGGAAATGCTCACCTACTACCTCAAGCAGGGACCCTCTGACCTACTCTCGGTCCTGTAAACAGAGGTCGCCTTTCATTGGGTGATTTACCTGGCCCTTGGCAGATGCTTCCCATGAGCATTTACATCTCCATAAGAAGGCAAAAGTCCATAACCTTACCAGATACCCTTGCCTGAGCCCCCTTCATTTGTTTGGGGTAGAACCCAAAGGAATAAGGAAAACCAGTGGAGGTTCCAATGGCAGTAAGTATGTCATTACAGAACTCTGCTTGCTAGATTTTGGCTGTTAGGCCAGACCTTGACCAAGGGTGAAAAATGAGCAGGGATGGAGAGCCAATGAGTGAGGGAGCCCAGGGGTAAGTTCTGGCAATGGACCAGATCCTTCAGCAGCTTCTGGGACCAAAGAACATAAAAGAGCACCAGAGGATTAAGAGGTTCCTTTGTATTTGCCCAGTTTCTTCCTTATCTTATTGTCATGGAGACCAGAGCTGAATTGCAAAAAGAGCAACAATTGCCCTGAACTTTTTCCAACTGGGGTCCTGGATCTGTACCTAGTTTCCTAACACTTTTCAGCCACAGCAGTCTCTGGGGGTTGCTTTCTCTCAGGGCTCTGGCCTTCTTATGAAGGTAGAAATGGTCTCCTGGCAAGGGCTCCCAGGAGTAAGAAGCCATAACCATCAGGCCTTGGCTGATTGGAGTAGTACAGGGAATCACTCTTTGCCTAGAAGGAATCCTGAAGTTCATCTTGCACTGTTTTGCTTCTAATAAGATAAATAAGAGTTTCCATGGGTATTGAACAGGGGTTTCAAATACCCGCAGAGGGAGACTAGACTGTGTGACCTCCGATAGCTTTGCCAGCTCTGATATTCTCAGAGCCTGAGATAACTGATATTATCGCTAATGTGCTATCATTTATAATAATGTTTGCAATGATGCATATCATTAATAATAATGAATGTTATCACTCTGCCTTTTCTAATCTGATGTGTGATCTATATAATTGCTTAGTTCTCTTCAGACATACTTACCTTTACTGTTAAGTCAGTAACTTATCACTGATACTGTATCAAAAAGGAAATTGAGCCCAAGAACAGGGCTCCTCCCACTAAATAGCCCCTCACCCCCAAGAGCATCTGCATCTGCCTTGGGTTACTCAGAACCCTCCAGGTCCCTGCTCTTCCAGACTTGCTTTGTTCTCTCCATCCCACCCACCCCACCCCATCCCACCCCACCCCAAAACTCCTGGAACAGCTGGAGGTGCCTCCTGCTGACCTGCATCTGGTCCAGGATTCCAGCCACCTTTTGACCAGAGTCATCCACTTCCTCATGACAGGTCTTAATTTCCTCTTCTGTAAGATGAGTCAAGACCCCCTTGGAGCTTAAAATCTAGTGAATTATTCCATTCAAAGGAGCCACCTTATGCTGTGACCCTGGTTAATCCATCCATCTGGCTCCTTTTAATTACAGTAAATTTCCCAGAGCTCCAAGTTATATCGAAATGAGTGAAAATAGACCCATCCTGGGAAACTCAGAAATTTAGAGGCCAACTTATGTCCTTGCCCCCCAGGGGAACATGGAGTGCCATCTAAGGCATGCGCAGTGTCTTTCACTTTTATTTTACTGTCTCCCCATACCAGGGACACAGTAGGTCAGCAATTGCATACTGAACATGTGCAGCATCGATGTCTCCAACTCTCTCACTTTTTCTACTGGACCCCATCTTCCTAAATGCAAGGTTTCTGTGCCAGGATTCAGGTCTTAGACATCAAAGTCAGAAAACTGTGTTTCTAACCATTGCTGCAACTCCATAGGGCAAATCCATTTACTGAATGTTCAGACAACTCTGCCAGTCACTAGTTGTGTGACCTTGGGCAATTACTTAGCTCCTCTTTACTTTATCTTCCCCAGTGGGGATGATAATAATAATACCTACTTCATTATGTTGTTTGATGATGAGCCAAAATAATCTGTATAAAGCTCTTAGAACAGCGCTTGGCACACAGAAGACGCTCAAGGAATGTCAGTTCTCATTATCAATTTTTCAGTTCAATATCCACTTGCAAAAGGCCAACCTATGTCAATCTAATGAAGGGATAAGAACTTTCCCATAATTAGTCTGGGTAGGTAAGGCAACCAGCCCATCCTTGATGGACAGGCAGATTCTTGTAGACAGATTCTTGAGAGAACAGAAAGGGAAGCCAGTAGGGAAACATTCAGGATAACTTAGTGTAGCCAATGACTTAAGTCCCTTCATCTCGATGATACTCCCTCTCAAGATACCTGCTTGCTATCAGGACATGCCAAGCTGGTGATGGAAGATTTCTTCATGAAAAAGTGGGAACAGTATGAGAAAGTCCAGATCACAGAGGTAACCACAGTTTAGGGAACATCTTGGATCTAGTGCTCAAAGGAAAGAAAACCCACTCTTGCAAAATATATAAATGCTAGAGTTGTTGTTGGGTGTGCCAGGGAGCACCCGTGAACACATGTTACAGAGGAGGTGACAAAAGAAGAGGGGGTGTGTTCATCATCACCTAACCAGATGGGTGCCTGGATGGAGGGGCTGGGCTGTGGGAGGCTGGTCAGTGGGCTGACTGGCTGTGGACCAGATGGATTAGGGGATCCTATGGAGATGGGTGAAATTCCAGCTTCACCTTCTTACCAGCAGGGGACCAAGGGGGTAACTACAGGTTTCATTGACTGTCTAAGGAAGAGACTTGGTGATGATGATGAGATCTACCTTAACCCAGCCCCAGAGAGACTTCAGAGTGAGACAATGGAGGAGAATGCTGGCTCTGATTCACCAGGAGCATATGCATCAACTGTTACCTAAAGAGACCAGAAGACCAATTATCCCAACACAGGAGCATCACCAGACAAGAGCCTGTAATCGGGGCCCATTTTCCTAGAGTTGGCGAGTAGAACAGAAATGCCAAGCATTGTCCAGAATGAGTACATGAGGCAAGATCCTCACACCGGGCAGAAGATGCTAAATGCTTATGATGGGATTGCAGGTTGGCTTGAATGTTTAGCTCCACAGCTCCCCTCTGTGGTCTGCTAGGAGGCATGTCAATTTCCCTCTGCTGGAGGCTGGGACCCAGGAAACCCATGAGCTTTGTGATAAATATTGACAGGCTGTGAGGTAGGGAAGTTTAGATGAGATTATGGAAGCTGAGAAGCTAAGCTCTTTGGTTTAAAGGTTGACAGCGCAAATAGATCAATTTAAATTGTGAAGGGGGTCATGTTCCTGTTAGATGTTGGGAGAGCAACCTGGACAGGTCTGAAGCTATTAGACTCATATTGTCAGGTAGAGACCTTGGGTATCTATCTTTAAGAAGCCTTCTTGTCACCACAAACTTCTCTGCCAACTACATCATGTGGTACATTGCTGGGTTTGGGAATGTAGGTGTGCTATTTCAAACTCTGTGTTCAGGTTTTGACTCCTGCCTGCCAACAGTCTTGTCTTTTCTTTTGAATAAGTGAGACTATTTTATCAGCAATAGTTTTCCAAAACCCCAATGGCGGGAAGACCAGAGGAAGTCCCACCCACCCAGCTTAGGAAGCCCTGACCCCTTCCCTGCAGACACAGAGAACAGAGAACTGAAGACACAGAAGTCCTCCAGCTGTACTTAAGAAAATCATACCCACAGACTTTAGTTGAAAAATCACCATCCATTGGGCCTCCCCTGTGGCGCAGCGGTTGAGTGCTGGGTTGCGAAGCTGCCCGCAGCCTCTGCAGCACTGGTTCGATCCCCGGCTGCTCCCCGGCCACCGGAGGAGGGTCCCACATGGCACGCAGATCTCTCCTGCCACCCGCTGCTCCCCTCAGCAGTGTACTGTGGTCCTTCTGCCTGCTCTGCTCCCCGCTCTGGCTCTGGTGAATTCTCTCACCCTCCTGCACTTCTGACTGTACCCAGTGCTTGTATAAATAAATAAATAAATCTTAAAGAAAGAAAAATCACCGTCCATTTTGGAAGAGGAGTGACCTTGCTCCTAACCTGGCTGGCAATGATATCTTTTTAAAAAATAAATAAACAAAGGCAAGCTGTAGCTCTTTTGAAATTTCAACTGTATAATGATGGCCAAATGAAAAGCATCTCCTTTGAGTGGAACCCTGAGTGATGTGTCATTATGAAGGAGTTGGAGAAAGGGTGTTGACCTGTTTGTCAGAAAGCTTCATAATTCAAACAGGCTCAGAGCGCATCAGCTACCTCTGCTCTGCTCGGGCCCTGAGAGTTGAAGGCTTCCGCTGTCATCAGCAGATCTGGGTGGGCACATGGCCCCCGCCCGCTGCCCCTGCTAGGGACCAGGGTTTTATATTAGGAGAGGTAGGAATGTGGGTTTGGTCATTGGCAGGAGCTGGTAGGAGGCTTCCTATCTTTAGGGGATGGAGTTACAGGCTTTCAGGGCAGAGGAGACCAGATGAGGGTGGAGGCAGAAGGCTATTAAATGTAGAGGTCACCAGGCAAGAAGGGGTGATCACAAGGGTGATCTGGGGGAGAAGGAACTGTCTGAATCCTAGGGTAATCTTCCTAGCCAAGAAGGGCCAAAAAGGGCCATGACAGATCAGAAGAAACCACTAAACATAGAGGCCCCTGCCTGGAGCCAACACTTGAGAAGTTCATCAAACCTGAATGAAGCTAGACCAAGGGCTGCCAGGTCAGGTTATATGTTGGAGCATTTCGCTCAGTATCAAATATAATTTCTAAATGGCCGAAAGGAAGAAGAAAGAGAGGGAAGGCAATACCGCGTCATGGAAAGAGTTAAGGCTTTGCAGCCAAACTTGTTGTGTGACCTTGGGTGAGTAACTTGACCCCTCTGAGGTTCAGTCTTTCATTTGTAAAATCACCCTTGAGAAGCTGCAGTTAAGAATTCAGTGAGAAGAGCATGTGAAGCACCAACACCATACCTAGAAATGTCAGGTGTTCTATAACTGTTAGTTCTCATCCCTCCCAAAAGCTACACTTGTGGGCCTCCCTGGTGGTGCAGGGGTTAAAGTCTCAGCGCTCTCAAGCTATTTCCAGCCGCTGCAGCATGAGTCTGATCCCCGGACCATGGAGATGACCCACATGGTGCAGCAGACCTCTCCTGTCTCACCCGCTGCTCCCCTCAGTGGTGTATTTCAGTCAGTCTGCCTGTTCTGTTCCCCACTCTGTCTCTGGTGAGCCCTCTCACCCCCCACACCTCTGGCCTACACCCTAGCTCTTGTATGCATAAATAAATAAAATAAATATTTTTTAAAAAAGCTGCATTTGCAGCCAATGAATGTCTAGAGCTGCGCTGTCCAACACAGTACTCACCACAGGCAGCGCTCAAGCACTTTAAAGGTGACTTGTCTGCATAGAGATGTGACTTAAGTGTAAAACGTGCACTAGAGTTCCAAAGCTTCATACGAAAAAGGGAAAAATGGTGGGCCTCCCCGGTGGCCGGTTGAGCGCTGGGTTGCGAAGCTGCCCGCAGCCTCTGCAGTACCGGTTCGATCCCGGGCGGCTGGGCGAGGGTCCCACATGGCGCACAGACCTCTCCTGCCGCCTGCTGCTCCCCTCAGCAGTGTACTTCGGTCCTTCTGCCTGCTCTGCTCCCCGCTCTGGCTCTGGTGAATTCTCTCACCCTCCCGCGCTTCTGACTGTACCCAGTGCTTGTATAAATAAATCAATAAATCTTTAAAAAAAAAAAAAAAGGAAAAATGTCATCTTCAGAATGTTGTGGTATAATATGTTGAAATGATAATGTTTTAGATATATTGGATTAAATAACATTATTAAAATAAATTTCACCTGTTTCTTTGTACGTGGTTGAATGAGGCTACTAGAAAATTATAAATTGCAGCCTGGCTCATACTTCATTCCCATTGGACAGAGCAGGTCTAGACATTAGATGAAGACAAAGTTGGGAAACTGTGTTCCGGAAGTTCATTTGTTTCTGTACCTTGGGGTTATGTTTTTGTTGGTTGTCCCCATCCCCCAGTAAAAGACCCCTTTGAAAAAGTGCTGCCCAGGGCTCAACCAATGGATGGAAGGTACCCGTGTGCCCTTCGTGAGTAAGTGTGGTAGTGGCCTCAGTCCAGGAAATAGTAGCAGGGCTGGTGCATCAGAGTATCAAGGTATCAGGTGGGATAGTCAGGGTAGCTGGGGAGGTATTAGTCCTTCTTAGGACTCCAGATTCTTCTACTGTTCTTTACTCCAGGAAGATGCCCGTTCTCTTATTTTAGAAGGCCCATCATGTATATGAACTTGGCAGGCAGCAGGCTCCCACTAGGCAGGTACGAACATGGATGCAAAGGAAAATGCCACTCCAACGCCACCTTTAGAAAACCAGTTTCCAGAGAAATGAACATCAGACATTTACAGGCATGAGAATGTTTTTTTTTTTCTCCCTTCCAAGAAGTGTGGTTGGTGGTTGTTTTTTTAAACTGTACATTTTACTGTACATTTTTTAGCAACGGAAAAGATTGGCATTTATATACTGACCACAGGGATGCTGCTTTCCAAAACTCCAAGTCAGGAACATGACAAACACAAGCCAAGTACATATCGTGTCACGACAGAGCTCGCGGCCACCGACGAGAACAGACGGCTCCTTCCTTTCCATGTCCACCACTTTCGTTCTGGGTGTTTGAACCCAAAGACGAAAAGAAAAGTGGTATTTGGGGTCTCTTCCTCAATGGCTACATTTAAAAAGTCTGAATGGGAAAAGAGCAGAGAGAAAAAGGAGAGGAGAGAAGAGGACAGAGAAAGAGGGCTGGCTAGCGGGAGAGATTTCCTCTCCAGTTCCCCGGTTCTGTGGGCGCCACCATGATTAGCAAAGGCCTGAGCTCTGCCGCTGGGGCTGGCCTGGGAAATTAACTTGTGATCCCAGGAAGGGACTCACCTGGTCTGTTAGTCACCTTGTCCGGATCAGAAAGGGGATGGGGGAGGCAGCGTGTCACAGGAGAAAAAAAATGAGGAGCAAAGAAAGATGAAGACAGAGAACTGGCTCCTGGGCTGAGGCCAGAAGGCAATCCTGCGTGGATAGTTCCTCATCTGCTCCTTATGTGCTCTGGGTATGACTGGGGACAACCAGCTCAACTCCAGGGCTGAGTCTACCAGAACTCTAAGGTCTGGTAGACTCACCTGTAGGCTTTGTTGCTGTGTGGTTGGCAAGCATAAGAAAGAAAGAGAGAGGCTCAGATCTATGGCAGAGGCTTGGGGGAGGAAAGAATGAGCTGGGGAGACGGAGAGGTAGTGTGTTGGCAATGAGGAAAGACCAGGAACAGATAGGGACCAGGAGAGACAGAGATGAAGAGGGAAGTTTTTCAGATTCAGCGATTTCTCCCTGGCCACATCTCCTCTGCCCCCTCTTGGCACTGTCGGGGAGTGTGGGGGTTATAATCCCTAGATGGCACGGAGCACAAGGGCCCCAACCATGCCACACTGTCATTTCCATGAGTGGATCCTCCTCATGAATGACATCCATGGAAGGCATCCCCCGTGTCCCACCCTGAGCCACTTTCTTGAACAAACAGGGATAAGACTTTGGACATAGAAATGCCCTGGTTTAGGAATGTGAAGGCCAGAGAAACAGATCCCAAACACCACCCTTAGGAGGTAGGTGGTCTTGACCCCTCCCAAGACTTAGTCGCTAACTCACTTTGTGACCTTGGGGACAAGTCTCTGAAACTCTGGGAGTCAAGAGGAGAGAGGGCTGAGGATGAGATGATTACAAACAACTTTTCAAGCTTCAAAACTCTATGATTCTAAAAAGATTCATCTTTCCCCATCCAAAGCTTCTAGAATTCTTCCCGTGTGTCCAGTGGGAAGGCCAGGGACTATTCTAACACTGTGTTCCTAGTACTGTTGAATCATAAACCGTAACATTTAGGGTCAGGGAGTTTTCATTAATCCTTAGAACTGGAAGGAAATTGGAGACATACCACAATCCAAGGATTTTGAGAACCAGAAGCCTGAGATACAAAGAGAAGGGGTCTTGTCCAAGGGATTCAACTGACTATTCAGTGGCGGCCCTGGAACCCAAGCTCCAAGTATCGACTGCAGGTGCAGTGCTCTTCTTGCCACCCATCCTGCTTTCCTTAAAAGAAGCCTTCTTGGTTCACCATATGTTCATAGGGACTTTCAGTTCCAATTTCAAAAAAAGAGGCAAAAATTCCATAGCAATTCCAAAAGTTAAAATCCCTTATGCCCCATAAAGCTCTTCTCCCTCCCTGCTCCCCTCATATAAGAAGTTCTGGAAATTACCCTGGTGGTTTAGCCAATTTGGTGGGTGTGGATGTCATGTTTGAGAAGCAAAGGAGCCTGGGCCAGGTCTCAGGGGGTCTCTCATCCCTCCCAGGTGTAGGGCAGCTGGGAATATGAGGGTCTGAGCAGGGACCTCCACAGTCTTCCCCCGAACAAGTGTGGAACCAGAATCATTCCCTTCTCTTGTGAATTGGCAATAATCATCCACTACCAGGACTGCTGGGACACACTTTGCTTTCACACACAAACTCTCCATCATCTGTGTGAATGAAGAGGAGGAGTCTGGGAAGTGGAAAAAATAAATTAGAAAATAAAAACAACAGTGGAACCAGAAACAATCCAAAGCCACTTGCTTATACGCTACATTTGTGATTAGAAAGGCAGGAGGCCGCCTTTCCAAACACTCAGGGCTCAGTCCAACATTTTAGTGATCAAGTCCGCTTTCCCTGAGCACACCCAATGGGTGGTGGGGGACGGGCCTGGGAAGGTGGTGTGGGTGGTTGGGGGTGGGGGGCGTTGACAGGGAGATGAAACTGTCCCTGGATGTAAACATCACCATGGAAACTCCACAAAGACTTGCCAGAAAAGATTCTTTCCCCTCCTTCCATCCTGCAAGGGTGGGAGGGAGGATGCCCATCCCCCAGGCCTACACCGTGCTCTCCATCACCCACTCTGAGCTGCCAAAGGTCCCCCGGGCCCCCACCAAGTCACTCTCCTCAAAAGGCAATAGCATGCCATTGACAGAGAGGCTGCGCTTTGTCCAGATGTTCGAGACCCGCCGAGGGGGGCTGTAGCCACCGGGGGCCACCCCTCCAGCTGCCGCAGCAGCAAAGTCCCCCATGTCAAAAGAGTGGCTGCGTTTGGCCTTGCCCTCCAGGGGTAAGGGGAGCAGGCTCCTGGCCCGGGCCGCGGGCGGTCCCAGCAGTGGCTCTCGGTCCGAGGGTTGGCCCCTGGCGGAGGTCCCAGACCCTCTCCCGCCTGGAGTCCTGGAGTCCAGCAGCTCCTCCTTTCTCTGACTCTTGAGGTCCAGGGAGGCAAAGGCCCCCATCAGGCGGTCAAGGTTGGGCTTGGGGCGGGGGCCAGGGTGTGGGAGCCTCCAGGGGCCCCTTCCCAGCCCCGCAGCCTCCCCGCTGCCCAGGGAGCTGGAGGAAGAGGAGTCGCTGCCACGGGCCAGGCTGGCACTGAATTCCACCAGCTCGTTGCGGACCACCACCTTGGGCGGCCCTGGCGCAGGGACCCCGCTGGAGGCCCCACTGGGTGCACTGCCTGGTGCCAGAGTCAGAGGAGGCGGCTGGGAGCCGTTGGTCTGCGAGTGCATGTTGCTGACCGTGGCGGCCACCATCTTGCCCGGGGACTCGTGGTTGCAGACCTTGTAGCGCACCATGAGGATGACAATGAAGACCAGCAGCGTGGCCACGATGATGCCGCCAATGACCAGGATCATGGTGCCGCCCAGGATCTGGCTGTGCATCGACTGGCACTGCGGGTAGTCGGCCTTGGTGAAGAACTGGGCGCAGCCCACGATGTTGGTGGCTGTGAGCGTCGTGGCCGTGTCATCCCACATGGCCAACACACACAGGTCATAGCCAGTCCCTGACACCAGGTTGTTGACCACGAAGGCTTTGTTGGAAGCTGGGATCATCCTGGGGTGGGTGGGGATAGACACAGGGAGGCAGAGATAGTGAGGGGCAGTAGAGTGATGGGGGACAGAAGGGATGACAAAGACAGGTGAGGTGGGGAGGTGGAGGGAGACAGACACCAGCACACAGAGAATCAGACAAAGCAGAAAAACGGGTGACAGGTGAAGAGACAGGAATGGGGAGAGATGGAGAAAGAGAGATGAGGGGTTGGTGGGAGAGGATGAAGGAAAATGACAGGAACAGGGCCCAGGAAACAGGGAAAGAGCCAGAGACGTGAGCAGAGGTGTCCAGGCAAGAAAATGGAGAGAGGGAGAGAAGGGAAGTCACAGAGCAAGATTTGGGGAGGGGCATGTCAGAAAGATGCCCACAGAGAAAGACCCGCAGAGATCAGGCGAGGGCATGCACCCAGAGGCGTGGAAATAGAAAGACAGCGAGGACACAGATGAAAGGAAGGAGGCAGCGAGAGAGGAGAGCAGAGATAAAGGAAAGGAGTTTAGCGAGGGAGGTGCAGAGAAGAGAGACGGCACTCAGGCAGAGAGGGGAGAGGAAACACAGGTTGGAGCAAAGGGGGGGACACAGAGAGCAGACAGGTTAAAGGCTTGAAGAAGCAAAAATTAAGCAAAGGGACAACCCACCACACCCCCACTTCTGCCATGTCTGCTACAAGTGTTCCATCAGCCTCTGAGGAGTGGAGGGGAGGGTCAGATGGGCCGTGACCCCATTCAGCCACACCCCGAGAGGGGATCCACCTCTGTTGTGTCCTCAGATTCATCAGGCTCTATACTGAGCCACGCACAAGGGCCAGCCCTCAGGAGCCAGACCATTCTCACGTCCGTGGCTTTCTCGAGCCTTGAGAGGGACAGGGGCCTAAGCAGGACAGAGCCAGAGGCAGGAGTGGCAGATGCTGCTTGGAGGTGAGGGAACAGTGTGGGTTGAAGACTGGAAGGAGGAAGGGAAAATTCCTTTGTGCTGGTAGAGCAGGCCAGGCTTTTCCAAAGACACCCAGGGAAAGAATTTCTCTGGCCTGGAGATCTTGATTAGTTCCTCTAGCTCAGGGGAGGAGCTGGTGGGGCAGCAATCTCCCCACACTAGGTCCCATCCCCTGTAGCCTGGGCGTCTCCTGCCTGGACAGTTAGGACACCCACAGACACACCCTTATCCCTAAGGTCCTTGTCGAGGTGTCGTGTCTTCTGCTGTCACAGAGATGATGTCCTGTCACCCTGTAAACAGTTCTGCTGAAATCCTCCCCTCGCTCTGAGTCTGCCACATTCTCTTGGGCCTGAAGGTCCCCACAGCCCAGAGAGTTCTCTACTCTCCTGTGCCCTAGTGCTCAGGGCACCCTCAGCACCCGTCAAAATCCCTCAACCCCAGGCCCAGGCAGCTTAATTGAGATCTCAAATATGAAATACTGCAGAGCAAAGCTCCCACCCGGGACTCCACATGGAGGGCTGGAAATGACAGGCAGATATTGACGTCCCGTCATGGGCAGCCCGAGCTGCTGCCTTGCTTCCCTTCCAGATCGACTCTGCAGCGGCGGAAGTCACAGCAGAGGAAACTTTTTCCTTCTTCTATTCTATACCCGCCCAGAGCTACAGTACTTGGGCCAGAAGAGGCAGGGCCTTTTTGTTTCACCTGGGCATCGTGGCGATCCCATGAGGGCAGCGGTTGGTGCTCCTGTGTCACAGAAGAGGAACAGTGAAGAGTCAGAGAGATCTGCTAAGAGAGGGTGCTTGGGACTTTAACACTAGCCTCCAGGTCTACAATCTGGGCCTGCTCCTTACATGTGGCTAACATGGAGGCAGTTTTCGCCCTCTCTCTGAAAAGCCCACCCTGGCCCAAAGCAGGGCTGCCAACCTCTTCCCTGGAGCAATGCTGAGAGTCTGCTGTGACCTGCACTCTTGCTGGACTGTCTCTGTGCAGAGCCCATGAGGCTACCATGTAGCCAGTGCCCCAAGGGCCCATGCCCTTCCACTCAGGGCTCACGAAGTAGGTTGAGAGGTAGGAGCCTGGAACAGTGTCATCTCAAACAGTGACAATAGTAAGAGAAACCCCCAGTGGCAGCTGTGTGTCAGACCCTGTCGTAAGTGACCTACACCTTATAGCTTATAGCATGTCCCTGAGGCAGCCACTTGCATGGTCCTCATTCTGCAGGTGGGGAAACAGGTGCAGAGGTAGTGAGCAGATCTAACATGGCAGGTCTGGGGTTTGAACCCAGCCAGGCATGCCCTGTCTATTCTGCAGCACTGTGCTCTGGGCCAGGAACAATGTAAAGGCACATCCACTTGAGAAGAGGATGGGCTGGCTGGTTTGAGGAACGCCTGTTATGGAACAAGGGTGTCCCATTCAGTGTTGTATTTAACTTTCATGACAGTCCCAGGACACAAGGGATGAACTCTGGGCCCAGAATCCATCTCAGTGTTTCATCACCACCTGCTGGGAAACATACCCTACTAGTACTTCTAGTAATAATAGAATGGCTACTAATAACAATAAGAAAGAAATAAAGCTAACACTGAGGCTCACGCTGTTCCAGGCAGGACAGAGCCAGAGGCAGGACTGAGCTCTTTAAAGGGATCGATACTCATAACAATTATTGGGAGGAAGTTACTATTGCTCCTGTCGATTTTACAGATAAGAACCCGAGGCCCAGAGAGGTTTAACTACCTGCCCAACGGGGCCAGCTAGTGAGTGGCAGAGCTGGGATGGGCGCCAGGCAGTCTGTCCCAGAGCTTCTGTGCCTGACTGCTGCACACACCACCTCTCAGAGTTGTCCTGTCTTGCTGTCCTCCCAGAGACTTCATGTGAACTCCTGCCAGGCTTCTCTCTCCTGTTTGCTTCCCGTCAGGAAAAATGAGAATGCAGCATGGCTGCAGGAGGAATTGAGGGGACTTACAGAAGAGGCAGAGCCAGCAGGCTCAAAACAGCCACAACAGTCAGCTTGGCCTTTGCCAGTAACAGTAACAGCGTTTGCTGTGTTAGGCCTGTGTGGGGAGTTTGCACGCACTATCTCATCTAACCTCCTGTTCACAGGACCACCCCCACCAGAGGAAGTTCTGTTATTATTATTTCCATTTATGGACAGAGGAAGCTGAGCACGTCTTCCTTTTCCTTGGGGAGCTTAGACCATATCTGGAGCCACCAGGTTCCTGAGCCCACACTCTTAGCCACAAGCAAACGCCTTCCCTATCCAGGCAGTCAAAGGACCGACTACACAGGAGTCGTGTGGAGGGGGCACTATTCTAACTCCAATGACAGAATCCAGCTCACCTCTCACCCACATGGCCCTGTCCACCAGCCCGCTGCCCAAAAAGACCAATCACTGCACCTTCAGGCTAGATTGAAAGCTGAACCCCTCCCCACCCCCTTATTCCTATCCATTCCCCACTGGCACTCTGGCTGGTAGGATTTCTCCTTGCCTTCTAGCTCCCTGTTCATGCTTTTGCTTGGGCCCCCAATTCTGGATGAATGCAGCGGCCTCCAAACAGACTTCCTACCTCTGCTCATGTTCCCCTAAGGTCCGAGCTCTGGCCATGGCCCCACCCGCTGAAATGCCCTTCCAGGGCCGCCGTGACATGCAGGGACACCTGGTTCCTAAGTCAGGCCTCCTGCATCTTCGACCCACTTGTCCACATTCTTAGTGAAAACATCTCAGAATCAATGGGGTCTTTGGGGGACAGAAGGCACACTGGCAGAGAGATAATTAAAAACCTTACAACTTTACAAAGGGACTCATTGCAAGAAGGTGGATGGAATGGGGGATGCAAGGAAACATGTAGTATCCCAAGGTTGGTAGCAGTCAGACTGTTACCCATCTAGGCATGAGGTACCAGGGGCAGTCACCTAGGAAGGAGAGAGCTCTGCTCAGAGGGCACCCACAGGTGGGTTCTTTTTTTTTTTTTGTATATAGACCATTCTATCATTCTTTTTTTTTTTTTAATTTATTTGTTTGTTTGTACATGCACTGGGTACAGTCAGAAGCGCGGGAGGGTGAGAGAATTCCCCAGAGCCAGAGCGGGGAGCAGAGCAGGCAGAAGGACCGAAGTACACTGCTGAGGGGAGCAGCGGGCGGCAGGAGAGGTCTGCGCGCCATGTGGGACCCTCCTCTGGTGGCCGGGGAGCAGCCGGGGATCGAACCGGCGCCGCAGAGGCCATGGGCAGCTTCGCAACCCAGCGCTCAACCGCTGCGCCACCGGGGAGGCCCACAGGTGGGTTCTTGGCCCATGAGCTGCTCGTTCCTCGCCCATGATCAGGACATTGAGAATAAGTATTAAGAAAGTTCTGCAGGCAGCTCTCTTCTCAAGACTGCCTGCGTCTAATAGGCACTTTCTTGCTCCTTTTTTTTCTTTTTCCTAACAAACCTGTCCTTCTGAACACAAAAAAGAGAGGGAGGAAGGAGGAAGGGAGGTGGAGGGAGAGGGAAGGGGAAGGGGGGAGGTGTCCAGACCCGCGGGATTCCTAGGCAGGAAAAGAGAAGGGCTGAGAATTGAAACGAGGGGCTTGACAACTTGACGCTAGCGTTTGCTTCTTTATTTTTCCTTTACCTTTCTTTTACTTTTCCCTGTCTTTCTACCTTCCCTGACCTTCGCTCTGCTCCTCTCGCGGTAACCTCTCGCAATGACCTCCTGACCCTAACCTTCTCGTGGTTCTCTTCTTATATCCTGGGAGCTCCTCCCATCGTACCTCCCAGTCTCATTTGATTAACAGGAAACACCTGTGGTTTCTCAGCAGGTGAATAGGTAAAGCGAAACTTAATTGATGGCACGTGTTGTGCAACACTGCGCATGCTCCGGACGGCTCCGGACAGGGAGGGAGGGAGAAAGGTATTTTACAGCAACTTGGTGTCACACATCAGACATCCAAGTGTGTGATCATTTTTTTGCGATAATTTGTTTCTATTGCTGTTTGTTTTTTTTTTTTTTAAAGATTTATTTATTTATACAAGCACTGGGTACAGTCAGAAGCGCGGAGGGTGAGAGAATTCTCCAGAGCCAGAGCGGGGAGCA